TACTGAAGGCTGCAGTCCTTGACCCTTCGCAGCAAGTGCATGAGGTCCTCCTCAGTTTCAGCAAGCAGGGTTGTGTCATCTGCGTAACGGAGATTGTTAACAGACCTGTTCTCTTAGCAGTCCAAGGTATGTTCAATATTCTTCTCCAGCATCACAACTCAAAGGCATCAATTCTTCTATCAACCTTAGTAATTGTCCAGCTCTCAGATGCATAGCAAGAAATTGCAAAGACCATGGCCTGAATCAGACACACCTTAGTCTTCAGGGTGAGACATCGTTGCTTTTCAGTACTTTGGAGAGGTCCCTGACAGCTGACTTTCCCAATGCAATTAGTCTTCTGGTTTCCTGACTGCTAGTACCAAAAGTGTTGACTGTGGAGCCAAGTGAACTAAAGCTGTTAACAATCTCAAGCTCTTTACCATCTTCATCTCTTCACATGAGACTGCCAACTGGCCCACCCAGTGGTCAGAATCTTTGTTTTCTTGATGTTGAACTTCAATCCATATTGAAGGCTGCAGTCCTTGACCCTCTGCAGCAACTGCCTCAGGCCCTCCTCAGTTTCAGCAAGCAGGGTTGTGGCATCTGCATAATGGAGGTTGTTGATGAGTTTTCTTCCAATCCGGATACCACATTCCTTCTCACAGAGCCCAGCCTTCCAGATGATCTGTTCTGCATACAGATGAAGAGGTTGGAGGAGAGGATGCATCCCTGGCCTACACCTTTCCTGATTTTGAACTATACAGTGTTTCCTTACTCTGGTCTGACTACTGCTTCCTTATAGGTTTTGCATAAGCACAATCAAATGTTCTAGGATTCCCATTCTCAGAATTAGCCACAGTTTGTTATGATCCACACAGTAAATGCCTTTGCATAGTCAATGAAACACAGATATTCCACTGGCACTAGCTTTCAGCTAAGATCTATCTAACACTGGATATAATTTTCCTACTGCCACGACCTCTTCTAAACCCAGCCTGCCATCTGGCAGTTCTCTGTTGATGTGCTGTTCCAGTTATTTTTGGATAATTTTCAGCAGGATCTTGCTTGTATGTGATATTAATAGTCTTGTTTGATAATTTCCACATTCTATCAGGTCACCTTTTGTTTTAAATGGAAATAAATATGGATCTCTTCCAGTCCATGGGACAGGTGTTTGTCCTCTAGATTTCTTGGTACAACCTGGTGAGCACATCCAGGACATGTTGTTTTGTGCCGTCAAATTGCCTGAGACTTATAGCAACCCTATGCATGACAGCTCTGGACCCTGGTCTACCCTTAGCCAAACTTAGTCTCTGACACACCTACCCCTATTAGCCCAGTCACTGAGGCAATCCATCTTATAGAGGGTCTTCCCCTCCCGTGCTGTCCCTCTTCAAGGACTGCTCCCTTCCTGAATACACAGTTTCAAAAACATGTGGTACCATGAGTTCATATGGCCCTTCCATCCATTGCCTTCCAATGTATGTTTCTAGTCTATTTATTTTAATTTTATTTACGATCTCATTCAAGGATGAGTTATTTATTAAGAAGATAGCATTATGGTGGGATACGGCCCTGCACCCTGAAGGAAGGTATGACCCAAGTTGCTATCTTTAGTTTTCCTGGGGATATGGTTTATAGTCCCGAGATTCAATATAAAAGAATGTTCCTGTCAGAAGTGCTTCTATTGTGGAAAGATGGGCCACTTTAGTAGAGTGTCACAAGTGAGAGCCACATGTAGGCAAGGGGGTAGAGAGGAAGCTCCCACTCACTTGCTTTAAGTGTGGATCTGAAGGATACTTGACCAAGGGCTGCCCACATCAGGTCCTCATGGCTGAATGCACAGAGGACTGACGAGGCCCTGGCTCCCAGCTGGCAACAAAGGAGGATGCTTCAACAATTCAAGTCCTCCAAGAAGAGCCTTGGGTGAACATTGATGTTGCTCCTAAGTGTTATCTGTTTTCTCCTGGACACTGGAGCTTCTTATTCGGTCCTACAAGCCTTCTCATGTCTACTCTCTTCCTGCTATTCCTTAGTTGTTGGAAATGATGGCAAACCTTGAAAGCAGTTCTTTTGGGTTCCTGTGCTAGGCATTCCTAATTATAAGTCTTTTATTTTAAGATCTATCTTCCCACTGTAACTTAGTTTCTGCCACTGTTAGAACCTCTAGTTGGAATATTATTGATTTTAATTTTTGGCCCATATATTTTTAACTTATTAAATTTGTGTCTTCTAGGCTGCACTAGTTCCATGCTAGAATGATGAATCTCCAAGGATATAAACTTCTTATCCCTAAGCACAACTGATAATAGTGCACCTAAATTCCAAAATCAATTGCCACAATAGTCTCATGTTTCCTATTGCCAAAGTGGCCTTTTAGAGGAGTGAGAGAAGATCTTCATTCTGGGACCTGCAACACCCTCTTCAAGCAGGAAGTAGCTAAGAGAATGCAGCGCCCCCTCTCCTAATGAATCAGGGTGGAGTAACAGGGAATGGCAAAGGACATGCTGACAAAGGAGATCAAACAGAACTGGTTTGACAAGGACTGAAACTGACCCTCAAGGAATGCAGCTATATGACAATAAAAAGGAATATCCAACCTGAATCCATCTGATCATATGGAGAATTTTGGAAGTATTTTTGTGAACTTATTTTGCTTAATCGGTTATATTTGTTTGATTATATATAAAGGATGAAGAGAACAAAAAACACGGAAGAATGAATCATGAAGAAATCAGACTCACCTTGATGACCACTGAAGGGGCAGCAGAAACCCCATTTTTTTTATAAACCCCCCATTAGCGCTGGAGGCAGAAGCGGGCCATAAAAATTCTTGGCTTAGGGCAAACACCAGTGCCCCGAGTGCCCCGGGTAAAGCCCAGTCTGTCCTTGAAGTAAAGAATTAACTAGTGTCTACGTGACACAAAAAGAGTAAAAGCAGGCAAAGTAACCAGCCCATCAAAAGCCGACCAAATGACTGACCCACCAATCTCCAATCTCTTTGCCCTAGCAGGGGCACCCAAGGAAAAGCTATAAAAGCAAGTGGGAGGGAAAACTCAGGGCCTTTTCCCTTCACCACCTTTCTGAGGAAGGTGGAAAAGCCTCCACGCGTGGAAAAATTAAGCAATAAATGCTCTTGAAATTTCAGACGTGTTTCTGGATTTCTTTGAGGGGCATTTCGTGGGCACAACCACCACACAATGCTTTAAACAAAAGGGGGGGAATATGGGAAGCCCAATATAAAATTTAATATTAATAATAAACCAAATGTTATGTGAGGATAGGAGGGAGGCTGATACAATTTGGAATTCACTCTGTAGCACTAAGGTAGTCCTTAAATGTTTACAGGGGTATGCATTAAGGCAATCCTTAAGCTCTATATAATTCTTAGTTTGTATTTACTGAATCTCTCCTTCCTGAGATAAGCATAAAGTAAACAACAAAGAATTTGGCCTTATTTACAAAAGACCTCCCCATGATCCTTTGTTTTTATTTACAACTCCCCTGTTATTTTCCTTTGTTCACCTTCCTGATGATTCTCAATAAAAATCCAGAAAGGCATCGTAGCATAGGAGCTGCAGTTCTCCCAGCTGTTAGCCCCTAGCCTTCATGCTTTCTGGCCTGATCCCCATTCCTGTGTCATGTCGTCCCGTCCCGTTGCCCCCCCCCCCCCCCCCGTCTCTGTCTTTTCCTTTGGTCAACTATGAAGTCCACCAAGCAGAGAGGAACAGAGACAGAAAGAGTAGTCTAGTGATATCATTTGAGCTGCTAGATCCAGATGGTGGAGTTAGATCCATTCCTCATTTTTCAGTGATTATCACTAATAAATCCCCTTATTTTTTCAGTTAAGTTTCGCTTAAAGAGGCCTAGCGAATGCACAAATCTGTTTCTTTTACTATTCCAACTCTCCAAATTAAAAATATCTATTGGTAGGGGAAAAAAAAAAAGAAGAATGTTCCTGAGAAACTCAATGCTAG